GTTAATTAGTAATATATATGGGCTGTTGCAAATACTACCTTAGAATACTCATATAAAAACAACTGTACCTGGATGACACTTGTTCTAGGTGAAAAAAGACCTCAATTCAAATATGTTTTATAGAGACCCCTTTATTAGGTCTTCCCAGGATGAAGAAGGAGCCTTGGTGGCATCGTTGGGTGAGCATGGGACTGTTCGCTACAGAGGACGAGGCTAGCTCCCACTAGCAACTCCACGGAGAAAGACTTAAACATATTGTTGTTATTAGGTGCCATTAAGTCAGTCCACCTTATAGCACCCCTGTACACAACACAGCAAAACACAGCCTGCTCCTGCGCCATCCCCACAATGGTTCCCATGCTTGAGCCCATTGTTGTAACCACTGTGTCGATCCATCTTGTCGAGGGTCTTCCTCTTTTTCGCTGCCCCTGTACGGTACCAAGCATGATGATCTTTTCCAGGGACTGGTCTCTCCTGGCAACATATCCAAAGTGTGTAAATCAAAATCTTGCCATCCTTGCCTCTAAGAAGCATTCTGACTATACTTCTTCCAAGACAGGTTAGTTTACCCTTTTACCAGCCCATGGTACTTTCAATAGTTTCCAACAGCACCGTAATTCAAACACATCAATTCTGTCTTCCTTGTTCAGTGTCCAACTTTCACCTGCATATAAGGTGATTGAAAATACCACGGGTGGGGCAGGCACACCATAGTCCTCAAAGTAACATCCTTGATCTTCATCAGCAGGTGCTTCAAGTTCTCACGTTTAGAAAGCAAGGCTGTCATCTGCATATCCTCATGTCTAAGAATCATTTTGGCTGTACTCTTCCAAGATAAATTTATTTGTTCTTCTGACAGTCCATGATACACTCGGTATTCTTTGCAACACTGATATTAAAAGGAATTAGTTCTTCTGTAGTCTTCCTTATTCATTTTCTAGTTCTTACATGAGGATGAGGCAATTTAAAATAACAGGGCTTATGTCAGGCACACTTTAATGCTTAACGTGACATCTGTTTCTCAACACTTTAAAGAAGTCTTGAGCAGTAGCTTTGCCCAAGTCGGTATAGTGTTTGATTTCTTGCCTGTTGCTTCCATTAATATTGATGGCGGATCCAAATGAAATAAAATCACTAACAGTTTCAGTCTTTTCTTCATTTATTAGGATATAGTAAATAAATTGAGTTTTAGTTTTCTTTCTTTATTTTTTGTACTGAGTTTTAATCTATACTGAAGGCAATATTCCTTGATCTTCATCAGAAAGTGCCTCAAGTTCTCTTCTGTTTCACAGTAAGGTTGCATTATTTGCATATGGCATCCAATTCTGATGTCATACTCTTCCTCATATAATCAGGCTTCTCTGATTATTTGCTCAGCATATAGATGTAATAAGTATCATGACAGATTGCAACACTATGTATGGCAAAACTTTCCTGATTTTAAATTATTTTCTATTCAAATGACTGCCTCTTGGTCTGTGAACAGGTTCAGCATGAGCACAATCAAGTGTTCTGGAATTTCCATTCTTTGCAACATTTTCCATAGTTTATTGTGATCTGCACAGTTGAATGCCTCTGAATAATCAATAAGAAAATAATACTCACTGCTTTCAATCAAGACCCATCTGATGTCAGCAATAACAATCCTTCCTTGTCTTCCTCTGAATCCAGCTTGAATTTCTTAGCTCTCTGTTGATATACTGCTGTGATCTATTGAGCAAAATTAACTTGCTTGTGTCATTAAGGATACAGTTCAACAATTTCCATATTCTGTCGGTTCACCTTTCTTTGAAATTTGCACAAATATGGGTCTCCATATTTCCATTGGTATTGTCAATTTCTGGAGCCTCACAATTTTTGTTAATGCCCTTAGTGTGCAGATTGGAGTTATTCCTTCAATGCCATGGTCCTTGATCATAGGCTGCCTCTTGAAATGATTGAATATTGACCAATCTTTTCTGGTACAGTGAATCTGTGTATTCCTTCCATCTTATTTGATGCTTTTTTCATCACTCAATATTTTGCCCATAGAATCCTTCAATAGTTCAACCTGAGGTTTGATTTTTTTCTTCAGTTCTTTCAACTTGAGATATGTTCTTAGTTTTCTAACTTTGCACATTTCATTATAATTCTTCAATTTTTTCCTAAAGACTCCTTAAATATGAGTGTAGAGAATTTGTCCACATCAACTCTCTTCCCAGTTCTGTTTCCCACACTTATGCTAATTTTCTTCTGCTACAACCTGAACTCACATAGTCTATTCTACAGATGGCTCTTCATTTTGTTTTGACTGTTATTGAGTGTCTCTATTATCTTTTCCCACAAATGTAGTGAATTTGATCACTGGGCATTTCATTTGGGGAGGTACACATATATAGTCTCTGTCTATGTATTTAAATGAATACTTCATTGGTATTGTAAAATTCTCTCATCTGATGTCCAGCTTTATTTCTATCACTCACGTTGTATTTTCAAACTATTGATCCTTGCTCTTTGTTTCTAACTTTTACATTCTAATCACCAGTGAGCAATGCATATTGATTTCAGGTTTGATCCATTTCAGAAAGAAGAATTTGATAAAAGTTTTCAATGTCTTCATTGTTGGCTTTAATGCCTGGTGCATAAACTAGAATAATAGTTGTATTAACTGGTTTTCCTTGTAAACACATAGATATTAGCCTATCATATATAGCACTGTACTTTAAAATTAATCTTGCAATGTCCTTTATGATGATGTACGCAACGCCATTCCTCATGGATTTGTCATTCCCTGGATAGGAAACATGATTGTCTGACTCAAAATGGCCAATGTCAATTCATTTGCACTCACTAATTAATATCTAGGATATGTTCCATTTCTGTGGTAAACTGAAGGTTTGGTAGAGTGGATTTGGCCTTATTTCAACACTCGCAACCATGGGCATAGAAAACTAGCCCTATTTTGAGAAAGATCTCCATGGTTATGAGATAGAAATGCTTTCAAATATGTACATTTTCTCCAGGCTGAATAATGTAATAGCCCTCCACTGAGGAGTAGTTATAAAGGAGCTACCATAGAAGATGAGTAATTCCTGTGTCTGGCTACTTCACTGTGCCTGAAGGTTATCTGTAGATAAGAGCAATCAGGTTTGATAGCCAACCCACCGTAAAACATAGCAAACTCTTCTGATAGATTGCTCCCCTAGGGAGGGCTCAGGGGGGTTCCAGGTCAACTAGCAATAGGTGAAGATGGTGACTCAACTCACTGCTTGTTGATTATGTTATCCACTTATGATATTACCTACTGACTATGTAATATGTTTGCTCTATGATGTGTATTCCTTTAGAAAGCTCTGTAAGCCCCATTATATATATACCCACTGGAAAATATATTTACTCTCAGTCCGGACATAGGGACAAGGAGCCTCTGTGCCCCTCTGTCTATCTGTCTCTATCATTTTCCACAAAGGCAAAGTTGCTCTTGAGGATCTGTTCGAGTGCTGGGGACCCCCTCACCCCAACACATTTCATTTTTGATGACTCCCAATTTTCCTAGATTCATATTTTGTACATTTCATGTTCAAATTATTCATTGGTTTTTGTAGCTATTTTTTTCTCATTTTGAATCATGCATCACCAACAAATGAGGTCCTGAAAGCTCTGCTTGATCCATGTCATTAAGGTCAATTCCATTTTGAGAAGGGGCTCTTCCCCAGTTGTATTTTGAGTGGCTTTCAAATGGAGGGGCTCATCGCCCAACATTATATCAGAAAATGTTCCACTGATATTTAGAAGGTTTCCATGACTAATCCCTCAGAAGTGCCTCTTTCTTCTCCTTAGTCTGTTCTTAGTCTGGAAGTTCTATTGAAACCTGTTCCCCATGGATATCACTGTTAGTATATGAAATACTGGTAGCATAGTTTCCAGCAGCACAGTAACACACAAGCCACCACAGTATGACAAATTGACAGAATCATGGAATCCATGTGTTCGGTACTATTATCCATAAATTACAGGTGAGGAAACTGAGGTACAATGCAGTTTAAGTAATTTAATAATGATTTTACAACTAGGAAGCTTTCAAGTTAGAATGTAAAATCAAGTAATCTGCCTCCAGAGGGCAACCTTGTAAACCTTATGGCAAATATATTCAATCCACAATGATGATGTAATTTATCTATATACTTATGTATATTATACGTCTGGCACTATATTGTGATAGGGACACAGTGATGAACAAGACAAAGACCTTACTAGATGGAGCTTATATTCTAGTTGGAAGATAACTGTTAAATAAACATGCTAATTAGTGTGATGCTAAATCCTCTAAGAAAATGATATAATAAAAAATAAACGAGAGAACTAATATCTAAAAATAGGCGGTCAGAAAAAGCTGTTTTGAAAAGAAAAAACTTGAGTTAAAAACTAAATTGTCCTCCCCCCCCCCAAAAAAAAAAAGCCAGTGATCTGAAAATCAGGTGGAAGTGACGTTTGGAAAGTGTAAAGATCATAAATGAGGAAAGACTTTACTGTATGTCAGAATCACAAAAAGTATTTTTGTGTGAAAGAGAAAATGGTAACCTATTCCTGAGGTCTTTCTGATCTCTTCTTACCTGAAACTCTGTAACAAAGTTTCCTAACAGGCACCCCTGCCTCAATTCACTTCCCACAGCAATGCATCATTTTTTTTTGTTGCAAGGTTCAATTTTTATCAAACGTTATCATGCTACTCCCTTGCTCAAATTCTCCAAGGGCTGAGAAAAAAAATCCAAACTCATTAATCTCTTTTACAAGACTCAAACTATTTTACAACTTTTCTCACTGTTCCTTTACACACAGTCCATGCTACAGTAAAATATGAACCATTTATTCATCCATTATATTTTTCTGCACATAAAATAGTTCCTACCTTTTATCTTTGTAAGAGCAAATATTCATATTTAAGATAAAAAATGAATATATCCCTTCTTTTTCAGAATTCTCCAGCTCCTTTTGCTCCAAATTAATCTTTTCTCCTCTGAGTTTTCAAAGTATACTACTTAAATTATTAATTTATATATTTTTATTCACTATTTCACTGAGGTTTTTTAGGGAAGCACAATGTCTAATTTTTCCAGATTTTGCACATAAAAAAGCATTAGCTAATACTCATTCTCAATAAAATATTACAAGGTGTAGAAGCTGACCCTTTAGGTCTTTTCTATATCCTAAGATGTGTCATTGATATTTTAATATTTGTGTATCAAGAAAAAGGACAAAAGTTATGTGACTTGTCCTTTTTCATCTCAATTTGAGAAAAACTAACTTAAAATTAATTAATATTCTGATATACCACAGGGAGCCCTAGTGATCAACACTTCTTGAAATGTAATTGCTGATTCTAGGAATCCCACATAGCAAATGCCCATGTCAAAAAATTGGGGGTAGAGGGAATTTATATTTTACATTATTCCTCAAAATTTATTTTGTGCAATTAACATTTGAATGCTTTTAGATGCAAGCATCTTGTTAGGCACTGGTTATGAATACAATAGGGAAGAAAATTAATTTTCTGGCCTCAAGGAGCTATTAATCTTTTGGTAGAATAAGATATTAAAAAGTAGTCACATAAAAATAGCAATGGTATAAGAAATTAACTGGAATGGAATATGAAAATATGAATTTTGAAGAGTTTAAGTGTGGAAAACCTTGAGAAACAAAGAATGGTAAGATCAGAGCTTATTGGGTTGGGAATTCCAAAAGGAATACTTCTATTTAGAAAAACCCACAACTAAGCAACGGCTGTGTTGTTATTCCCTGCCATTAAGTAAGCTCCCATATATGACAACCTAATGTACAACATAAGGAGCTCTGGTGGCATAGTCATCATGCGTTGGGCTTTCAAAACCACCAGGTGCTCTATGAGAGAAAGATGAGGCTTGCTACTCCCATAAAGAGGAACAGTCTCAGAAACCCACAGGTACAGTTTGTTTGTTTGTTTGTCTAACCCATGGCCCCAGCCACCAAGACTACTTTTTCCAGAACTGTCCCGGGGGAAAAAAAAAAATCAAATTCACAGACATTGGTTTGATTCTGATTCATAGAGACCCTAAGGGCAGGGTAGAACTGTCCCTGTGAATTTCTGAAACTGTTAACTCTTTACTGGCCGAGCGGCTGGCAGTTTCCAATTACTGACCTTGTGGCTAGCAGTTCAAGGCTCAACTCACTATGCTACTAAGGCTTTTTTTCCCTTTCAAGCACAGTATCCAGATATATGTTGAATACATTTTATCAATAATTAAAACAAAACTTCCACACCGGTGGCAGCAAGTTTAGTCCTGAAAATCCATATATTGCGTAATTTTGTAGAAACTGATTTCTCTTTCCCTGACTAGCTTTCCCACCGCGAAAAAGTCCCACCTGGAGATTCGGGGTGGGAGGAGAAAGCTGGGTAAAAAGGAGACGCCAAGCACGGCGACTGGGAGAAAGCAGCTGGAACACGGAATCAGAGTGTTGATCTTTAGCTTCCTCCACTAGAAGATGGCACCCTCGCTCCGTGTGGGACAAAAGTAGAGCGTACACTGCCCTTTTTCTTCTGTTCAGAAAGATGACGACGCTTCTAGACATAGCGTCTCATATCTCACCGTGCAAAAGCTCCTGTCGAGGGAGTGTTATGCTAGGACGAAGCCTCTGGGATTCACAGGTACAGTTCTACCCTGTCCTAAAGGGGTGCTATCAGTCAGAATTTCCTCAATAGCAGTGAATAAGTAATATACAACAGAACAACATGTTGCCCAGTTCCATGCTACCTTCAACATGTTGCCCAGTTCCATGCTACCAGTTCATTGTATGGCTAATGTGTCTATCTATTTCACTACAGGTTTCTCTAGTTTTCATTGACTTTATCAAGCATGATATTCTTTTCTAGAGATTGGCATTTCCTGACTATGTGTCCAAAATAAGTGAGTCAAGGTCTTGCCACCTGAAATTCTAAGGAATATTCTGGTTGTTTTTCTTTTAAGACTGATTTGTTTATTCTTTTAGCAGTCGAGGGGATGTTCAATACTCTTCATCAACACCACGAACTGAATGCATCGATTAGGTCTCTTTCCTTTTTCGTCAATCAACTTTCATACATATATGAGATGACTTAAACATCCTGGCTAGGATCAGGCATCCCTTGATCATCAACGTGCCACCCTGGCTCTTTAAAACGTTAAAGAAGTCTTTTACACAGGACTTGCCTAACATAATATGTTGTTGGATTTCTTTACTGCTGCTTCCAGGTACATTGACTGTTGATCCAAGTAAAGGAAATCACTGAGAACTTCAATTTCATCTTCATTTAATATGTCAATTTGTGGTGCTCTTGTGGCTTGTGTGATGATACGAAGCTGGAAGACAGCAGCAGGAGCATTCACCTTTGGGTAGATTTCAGCAGAGCTCTAGACTAAGACATACTAGAAAAACTAAAAAGCTTGCCATTCTACTTCTGAAAATCAGGCAATTAAAATCTTATGGATCCATATCAGGAGAACCGAAAAACAGACAAACAAACAAACTGCTCTCAAGTTGATGCTGACTCATTGTCCACTAAATCACAGAAACCACAAATAGGAGTCTCCAGGAGATAAACAGCTGACTGACAAATGTTAGAGCTCATTAATTTTCATATAGAACTTGGCTAGCTGTGGTTCAAAATATTGTAATCCATGTGTCTCCAGAGTGCTAGTACTTGCTTTGAAAGGCTTAAGTATGTGTGCATTCTTTTCAAGAAAATTCGCAAGTGGAATAAGCACTGTATCATTGTAGTACCTGACATTCAATTCAAACCCATCTTTTCTTGATGACCTATGTGCTTAGTGATGTTTTTATTTCATTGATTTTTATGTAGATTACATACTTCATAGCATATTAAAGAACTGAGTTGGTAATCATTTAAGAAGTATAATTTGTTAAAGGATGCTTTCTATTAACTGGAAGAAAAAAATATAAGAGACTTACCACAGCGAGATTATTTCCTATACATTTCAGGAATAAAAATTTTTCTGCAACAGCTTCTTCACCAAGGAACTCACCAAGACGCTCCCTCAGGGCTTGTAAAGTAAGCTGAGGAGACACTCTGAAATATCACCACATTACTTTATAATATAAAACAAAATAGATTGTGACTATACTAATAATATAAAACAAAATAGATTGTGACTATACTAATAATTTGACAATTTTAGGTAGCTGTCTAAATATAAATACTAATTTAACATAGTATATGCAGCTTAATAAATCATAACTCTATAGTGCTGACACTTTGTCAGCCTGTAATGAATTTTTTTAATGAATGAATGAATGAAATTATGTCTTTTGAAATTATGCAAGTAGATACTGTTTCTAAATTCTTTTCATACCGAGAGGGAAAATGCTTGTCTACTTTTCTCACACACTTCCAAAGTTTATTTTGAAAGCAAAAAATTGCTATGGGAATTACATACTTTATTAAATAATTATTTAGCCACAGATTAATTTTATAAATGTGGTAGGATTAGCTAGTTTTTAAAATATCCTCAATGATAAAATGGGGTAGACGCCACGTCTTTGCTCACTAGGGGTATTTTACTCCGTGGTATCTAAAGTTAAAGGTGGTCTTTCTGTTATTTTCTGGGCTATTATTTCAGAGTTATGGGAAGAGAGAACATCATAAATGACGACTGAAAAGTAATCAAAAAGACAGTAAAAAAGGAAAGTGACCAAAGTGGATGTCAGAGGAGACTCTGAAACTTGTTCTTGAGAGCTAAGTACATAGCTAAAATGGAGGGAATAAATGAAGTAAACAAGCTAAATTAAAGATTTCAAAGAACAGATTGAAAAAATATGGCAAAGTACTATGATGAAATATGCAAACGCCTGCCATTATAAAACCAGAAGAAAACATGATCAGCATTTCTTAGCTAAAAGAATAGAGGGGGGGAAATTGAAGCTTTGAGTTGCATTGCTAAAATACCCTATGGTGGTAGGGATTGAATAATGCAGGGAACATCCAAAGAAGATGGAAGGGATGCACAGAATCATTATATGATACCAAAAACAAGCAGCTGACATTCAAACATTTCAGGAGATAGCATAAGATCAAGAACCACTGGTACTGATATTTAAGCTACATCGAAGACATTAAAAATAAATAAATAAACATCTAGGAATTGACAGAATACCAGTTGAGTTCTTTCAACAAACACGCAATGCTAGAAACACGTATTTATCTATACCAAGAAATTTGGAGGCAGCCATCTGGTTAGCTGATTGAAAGAAATTCCTATTTGTTCATATTCCAAAAAGGCAATCAAACAGAATGTGGAAGCGATCAAAATTATCATTCATATGACATGCTAGCAGAATTGTGCTGAGTATAATTTTAAATGACCACAGCCAACTGTCAGCTGTGCAAGAAGGGCTCAGAAAAGGACGTGCAAGAGACACAACATCGCTGATGCCAGATGGACCATGGCCAAAAGCAAACAGCTTCTGAAAGATGGCTACCTGTGTTGTAAACCACAAGAAGGCATTCCAGTGTGGAGCACAACAAATTATGGATAATATTGTAAAGAATCGCACAGCATTTAATTATGCTCAAACGGAGCCTGTACACAAATAAAAATGCAGTCACTTGAATGGGCTAGACTCGCAGGGGTCCTCAAACAATGGCCCGTGGGCCACATGCGGCCCGCTGAGGACATTTATCCGGCCCATTGGGTGTTTTTGCCCCATTTGTTTTTTTACTTCAACATAAGACATGTGCAGTGTGCATACGAATTTGTTCATCGTTTTTTTAAAACGATAGTCCGGCCCTCCAATGGGTCTGAGGGACAGTGAACTGGCTCCCTGTTTAAGTTTGAGGATCCTTGGGAGGATAGTACTGGTTGTTCCAAATTGGAAAATATGGGTGGCAGGGTTATATTCTTTCATTTTGCTATTTAAATTTAAATATTGAGAAAGTAACCTGAGAATTTGGACTACAGTGAACCCTCGCCACTTCGCGCTTCGACTTCTGCGGCTTCACTCTATCGCGGTTTTTGCGTAACAGCGCATGCTCTGTCATTACTGCCACTGATTGGCTCATACTGTACACGCTTGATGCCATAAATAATATAATAAATAATAAATGATAATTGTAACGTCCAAAATGTTTTACTGTATTTTCCCTTTTTCGTTTAATAAATTGGGTAATACGAGTGTAATGGTGACTAACGGGTGTTTTTTCATGTCCTCTATGGTCTAACTACGAAAATATTTGATTTACAAATAAGGAATCCTACTTCGCAGAATTTCATTTATCACGGTAGGGTCTAGAACCGATTAACCATGATAAACGAGGGTTCACTGTATATGAAAAAGAACATGGTGCGGGACTGCAGGAAGACTAATTAAGAACCCACAAAACTCAGATGGAATACTGCTGACAATGAAGTTAACTTGAAGCACTTGAACCTGAAGAAGTTGCAAATCTTTGCAAATTGACCGATAAGCAATCAAACATTTTTCTCATGATGGAATGAGAAAAAATTAAAGTTGTCACAATTTCATTCTACTTGTATCACCCACCAATCAATGTTCATGGAAGCAGCACTCAAGAAATCAAGCAATGTACTCCACTGAGCAAATCTGCCCCAGAAGATCTCTGTAAAGGTTTCAAAAGCACTGAGGGCACTGTGATGACTAAAGTGAGCCTGATCCAAGGTGTGGGATTTTCAATGCCTCACAGAGCTAAAAGCTGGACAATGAAAAAGGAAGACAGAAGAACAATGAATGCATTTCAATGACAAGGTTAACAGAGAATACTGCTTGTAGATTAGACAGCCAAAAGCGTGAACAACTCAATTTTAGAAGAAATACAACCAAAATGCTCCTCAGAATTAAAGATGGCAAGACCTTGACTCACTTGCTTTGGACAGATACATCATTTGGCAAGCAAATCTCCAGAAAATGCTACCATGCTTGGTAAAGTAGAGGGTCATTCAGGAGGCTAACCCTCACTGAGATGGATGACCCACACATAGCTACAATGGACTCGTGCAACTCAGTGATCCCAAAGACCATGCAGAACTAGGCAAACTTTACATGTTGTTGTGTTATACATAAGGTCACCACGAACTGCAGCTGACTCAATGGCAGCTAACAACAGCACACAAAATATTATATAATTTAATCAACGGGAAAATGTTATTTATTAAGCACCCACTATGAACCAGGATTGTAATACGAATATAGCAGGGAACAAAGCAGAATAAAATGTCCTCATGGCTTTACCACCTAATGGTGGAAGAAAAAAATTAATGAGTTGAAAATTTTAATCAATAGGGGATGCTTAGGACTGTTTGAAATAAGAAGGCAAAATAAAGAGTAATATTTGAGTAAAAATCTGGAGGGGGTAAGTGAACATATGGGAAAGACAAAGAGCATTCTATAAAATAACAGTAAAGACAGGGGACCTGAAGTAGAACTGTGTCTGACATGGACCAGAATACAAAGATATCTAGTGTGGTTGAAACAAATACGGAGAAAATTAAGAGGGGCTTTTCAGAAAGTTAACAAGAAGTGGTCAGATCACATAGTGTCATGTGTTACTCTCTGAATAAGAAAACACACACACATATATGCTTAAATACATGTATACTTCAAAACATTCGGGGGGTTGTTTATAGTTTTTAAAAAGTTCAGGGAAAAATACATTTAGAACGTGTGCTGTTCTCAGGCTATAAATGTCCAACTTGTTCTTTAATGTTACATAACTGTGCCCTCACTGAGTCAAGTTAAACCAAACCAAGCCCACTGTGCTACCAAGTTATAACTCAAAGCAATCTTACAAAGGGTGTCCAGGGTTTATAAAATCTTTATGGAAGCATACGGCTTCATTTTTCTCCCATAGAGTGGTTGGTAGGTTTGAACAGCTGGCCTTCTGGTTAGTAGTCCAATAGCTGACCCACAGCACCATCAGGGCTCCTGACCCAACACATACTGATAACCGATTTGTATCATAATTTCACTTGTTGCTTATGCAGGTTTTAAATCTTTTGCACTAAAATCAAAACCAAATCCACTGCTGCACAGTTGGTTCCAGCACATAGCAACCCCATAAGACAGAGTACAATTGTTCCAAAGGGTTTCCGAGACAAAATCTTACAGGGGCAGATAACCTCATCTTTCTCCCATGAAACAGCTGGTGAATTTGAACCATTAACCTTGAGGTTAGCAGTCCAATGCTTACCCCAAACCACCACCAGGGTTCCTTTTGCTTCTCAGTGTTTCCCAAAATGGGAAATTCTGCCCCTTGAGGGAAGCTGGAATAAATCAGGGGGCTACAAAAGCGAATACCTGCTCTTTATCCTGATTTATGGGCTATAGTACAAGAGATCTTAATTGCTAGGAGAGCACTGAGTAATTTTTTCCCCCTGAAAACTGTGCGGCAGACCAAATAAGTTTGGGAACATATGCATTAAAGAAAGGTTAAACAAGAATAATATGCTTCACCTACAAAATTGGCTTCAAGACATAATTAGAAAAGAATTTCATTCCTAATGGGCATTACCAGTGGTTTACCCACTATTTGCAACTCTTCAATATGTTTCTAATTTCAGATAATTTCGCTCTTGTCTCTGTGTATAACAATAATAATACACTGGTTATACACTATTTTCTTGGTGGTAGAACGAAGACTAAGAGGCATATGTTTCCTATAGCACTGTTTTATTTAATTATTACATAAAACTTTCCAAACTCAGTGCCATAGATTATCTTCTGACTCACAATGACCCTATAGAATAGGATAGAACTGCCCCTATGGGTTTCCAAGACTGTAACAGTGCACAGTGTAACTCTTTACAAGACTAGAAACCCTCATCTCTCCCTCAGTGGCTGATGGTTTCAAACTACTGACCTTGCAGTTAGCAACCCATTGAGTAATGCTATTTATTAATAATATTAATGAAATAGGAACTAGATACATCACCTTAACAAGATAATTTTCAATTGCAATTTAAGCTTTTCAGAAAAGATTGTTTCTGCAGAAAAATTCTCTCTTTCCCCTGGCACCTTTTCTAATGACTACAAAACACTTGCCTTATAAATCCAGCTGAAATGAATCTGTTAACCACATCTTTTGAAATGGTATTTAACTTATAATTCCATGATCCTTCAGGAACATAAAAAACATGGAGTTCCATCAACTGAATAAATTAAGAAGGATATCAGTTAAGACATTTTTAAAATGAAAAAAGTCAGTTGTTATTAAACTAGTTTTAATTTAATAAACATAATTGAAATAAATATGAACTACATGTATCCCTCTGAACAAACAAAAAAAACATGTAAGAACAAAAATGTGTAACTTAGTTCTCTTGAAGATAATGTTATCTTTGCGAATCCTAAATTACCTCAAGCATCTTTGGCCTATGGTATTCTTTCTGTGGCTGCATTAAGAATACTAAAAATTTTCAAAACCTGTTTTATCACAAATTTTCTCTTCCCATTCACTCCACACACTCAGTTCTATTAGTGTGATCTTATGGAATCCTTAGCCAGTAGATACTGGAAACCTAACCTAACTGTGATGGTTGCTAACTCTAACCATCTGCTACAGTGTTGAGGAATATGTTTGTTTCCAAGAATTCTAGGACAAACCTACTCCTAGACAGTCATGGAGAAAAAAAAATGGTTGTTCTTACATGGGACATTTCTGTAGCTTCTAATTACAACATACACTGTGTGTTCTTTTTCTATTGGTTTGTTATGACCATGATTAAAATCTCTTTCTTTAAAAATGTTAAGATTATTACCATGGAAATAGGAAACTTATAGGAACTATAGAACTATAGCCTCAACTTTAGAACTAATGGAGTTTGATATTGTATCACACCAGGTCATATGTAATGCTCTACTTCTAAAGCATACTAAATGTAATCCCTTGGATTAAATGGATACTAGCCAGAACAAATTGAAGGGTAGAAGAGAGCAACATGTTATAAAACTTTTGAAAGAATTAAAGTGTGAGGAGTTAAAAGTATGGATTGGGTCAATGTGTTGAGAGTAGAAGTGGTAAGTGGTCATACTTTATATATGTTTTTGAAACAAGAATCAATAGATTGGAAATGGCCTCCAAATCTGAGAAAGAGAGTTGCTGAAATAGAAAAGGTCTTAGGTAATACAAATTTAAGGGAGGGAAGAAAGCTCCATATTTCAGTTGCAGATTTTTTAGCTATCTGGTGCCACTTGATCATTCAAGTGGGGATGTCAAAGACAGTGTACTCTGTAATTTGTAGCATCTGTCCTGGCTCCAGTGTTGAAGGTCAGGGAGGAGGGTGCCAGGCTGGCGACTGGCGTCAAAATTGACAATGAAGTGGAAAGTGGGGAACCAGACTACAGCCAGGCAGGAAGAGCAGGAGCAGAGCACAGCCATGAAGCTGTCGTCCCCGGGTGAAGAAACTTCTAGACCAGGGTCAGCAAACTGGTGTGGCTCTTTTGGTACATACATGTAGCTCTGAAGTAAAATTGAAAATTAAAATAAAACTATCACAGTTTCATTTATCAAAATTTAAAGGATATTATTCAGATAATGGTGCTTTCATTTGTTTGTAAAAATAGGCTTGTGACTCTCAAATACTTTTTAGAATATTGTGGGGGACAGGATTGGCTCTGCCAGCTCAAGGTTTGCTGACCCTTGTTCTAGACCCAGAGGAGATGGACATGAAGCCACACAGCAATCGCCAAGGAAGATCGGCCCGAGGATGTTGAAAGGAGACAAGGCTCTTCTGTCAGCGTCTATAAAAAGAGAAAGTCTTCCTCCTTAGAGCTGGCGTGGTAAATTCAGACTGTTAGATGACAAGACTTTGAGAAAATAAACTTCTGTTGCTAAAGCTATTCACGTATGCGGTTTCTGTCGTGGCAGCACTAGGTAACAGATATACAGAGCGAGAAGTCTTAGACACAGGCGCTAGGATCCATTCTTTGGAGCTTTCAGTAGAACCTGGATCCTAGAGGAAGTGATTGGAGACATAGAGCATGATCAGAAAATAGGATACAAGAAATTGATAGCATGGGGATGTCAGTAACATACTTTACCTAATTTGTATTACTGCTTTATTAAAAAAAACTTTATTAAAACAATAAGGGAGATCTTATTATATTTCAGTAAAGATGGTCTTACCTCTGATGAGGAAGGTCGATTTGGATTCTGTGACATAGTCATCAATGTTCAAATTGGATGAGTATCAGTTGAAAATTATTTTTCTTTTCAGCTCTCTTCATATGAGGTGCATGTAATAATAAAGTCTACAACTGATTTTTGACTTCTTTAAGAAAGCAGTCCAATCATTTTTGCTCTCTGATTCAAACAGTGAAAAGAAAAACAAAAATATTTAAAAGATTAAAAATAAAAGTGTAGGAAAATATGCAATGTTATTATTATTCTAATTTTTAAATGCTCACAGACTGCCAATTGAAAATAAAAGCAATTCATTTTCTCTTAGTCAAAAATTAAGATTAAACATACTTTTTTTTTTTTTACTTTAAATCCGCTTTGGTGACACTATTGGCTAAGCATTGGATTATCAACTGCAAGGTCAGTAGTTCAAATCTGCCAGCCACACAGGGAGAAAGAAGAGGCTGTGTGCTCCTGTAAAGATTGACAAACCCTGGGAAGTACTTACTATATGTTGTCACTATGAGTCAGAACTGACTGGATGGCAGTGGGTCTGGTTTGTGGGTTATATATTATATTGCATAAAATTTTTAAAAAGCTTTGGAAGTTGAAGAACTAAACATAAAAGTGACAAGAATGATGAAAACTCTTTTGCCACATGCATTCCTTCCTGGGCTTGGATACCTCAATAATAATAAAAATAAACAATAACTCCAGATGAAGATTCCAGACTTTAATAGCGCAGACGATTATTTACTCGTATTATTATTCCTGGGGTTTTCATCAAAAGATTCATGGCAGTTTATAAGAATACACATGATAAACTTAGAAAGTTATGATTACTAAAAATTGAAAAATAAGGTAGCTGAATTGTTACTCTAAAAAGAAGTCACTAAAGTGGGACAATCCTGCAAAAAATATACTAATAATACCAACAGAGCAGAAATTTTTGTTTGAGATGAACTTGTTTGTCACTAAAGACTCCAAGTTCATTTCTATTTTACGCCCCCCCCACTTTTTTTTTCTTTAAGCCACACAAACCACCATTTAGGTTTCAGGGAAAAGGAATCTGGAGGGATTTTTTTTCTTTCTAAAGAAACATACTAAATGTATTTACACAACCCATCTCAAGAAATGAAATCAACAACAATATCCAATAGTATCCCCTGTATCTATGGTTATTTGCTTCCGTCCCTGTTCCTCTTCCCCTCCCTCCCCGCAACCTCAACAAACCATCCTTCCCCTCTGCCTGTTCCCAGCCACATCCCTGGCCTCCTTGTAGTCATCGAAGGCTTGTCTATTGGTGTAAAAAACACGTTTCTTCTTCCCTGTTTTCCTTATAACAATGGTGTTAGTAAATATTTATTTTTGTTTGCTAAGTATATTCTCTAGTTCTGTCCTTGTCTCGTGATATTTAAGACAGTTGTCATTGTTTTTTATTGAGGCATAATGCTCCATAGTAGGAATGTACTAGATTGCTTATTCATTCCTCTATAACTGGGATTTTTTATTTTTCCATGCTTTAGCCACCATGGAAATTTCTGTAGCAAATATAGATATGTCTATGCTTGTTCATGTTTTATTCTTGATATCTTTACAGTATATATCAAGTAGAGAGATTGCTAGATCATAAGACACTTGTATTTGCATTTGTTTGAGGATGTGCCATACTAATTTTCATAGTGGTTGTACAATTCTACTGTCTCACCAACAATGTAAAAGCAATAAAATCTCTCTGCATTTTCTCCAGCATTCATTATTTTCCACTTTATTGAATTTTGCCAAAAGTGTTGGTGTAAGGTGTTAACTCATTTTAATTTGTTTTCTCTTATTGATAATGGTCACTAACATTTCTTCATGTTTCTTGGCCACCTGGATGTTGTCATTGGTAAATCGTATATTCATGTCTTGTGTCCAGTTTTTTATTGTGTTACTGGTTTTTGCCTGTTAAGATGTTGCAGTGGTTTTTTAAATAGATTTTGGAGATTAGCCCTTTATTTTGATTCATTGTTACTGAATCTCGTTTCCCAATCTATGGGTTCTTTGTTGACTCGTTTGATGAAGTCTCTTGTTGGGCATAAATGTCATAGTTTTATTAGGCCCTAGTTATTTGTCTTTTCTTCAATAGTATGGCTAGTTTTCGTTATGTTTGGTAGGGTGTTTATGCCTGGGATTAGGGACCTTAAGAAACATACTAAATGGTTTTTTTTAAATGGTGGGCCTTAAAATTTTAATGAAGGGCTTTAAAAATAAGGGAATTAAAATTGGCCTTGAATGAACCTGAACCTTTTTTTTTTTTACATGATGTTAAATATTTGCTTTTTGTACATAGTGTGTGTTTGGGCTGGGTCCGGACCGGGCAGCCCCCACCTCTTCTCTGGCTCCTCAAGAAGATGAAATTTCACAGCCCCCATTCACAGCCTCTCTGAAAGATGGATGACCTATTGAACTATGAAACAAACTCCTGACCCAGCACCCCAGGAAGCTATTTACCTTCCCAGGTGGATCTGCATAGCCCATTCCCCCAGCACTTCAAAGAGCAGGTCTGCAAACAACAAGATGACCTCCCACTAATCACATCCTGACTTAAGGTCCTGCAGTGGCAAGCCAAAAAAGTAATAAAGATCCTCCCTTCTGTTAACATACAGTTCCTTAGCTCAGACCCTATATAACTCCCACCGCCTCTCCAATAAGCTGGGAGTCTCGGAACTGTCCCTTTCTCTGCTCTCCCTTCCCTCCCAGGAGTTCTTTCCCTGCCTCAATAAAATCTTTCTCAACTTCACGTTCCTGGCTAATTTCTATCTCCGTTCTGCGCCTCTGTCTCCAACCTCTCAGTGTGAAGTGTGGGTCCTTTTCATTCTTTTGCAGGTGAAGATACAGTTTTTCCAGCACCATTTGTTGAAAAGACTATCTCTTACCTATTTAATGTGTTTTAGTCCTTTATTAAAAAAAATTAGTTGTCTATAGGTGTTGTTGTTAGGTGCCATTAAGTTGGCTCTAACCCTCAGGGACCCTATGCACAACAGAAGGAAACTTTGCATGGTTCTGTGACATCCTTACAATTGTTCCTATGCCTAAGTCCATTGATAGAGCCACTGTGAAAATTCATCCCATTGCGGGCCTTCCTCTGTTTCATTGCCCTTCCACTTTACCAAGCATGATGTCCTTGTCCGGAGACTGGTTTCTCCTGACAGTATGTCCACGGTATGCCTCTAAGGAACACTCTGGCCCTACTTCTTTCAACACAGGTCACCCTTTCTTTTTAGCAGTCCTTGGTACCTTCAATATTCTTCTCCATCCATCCCCTTACAGAAGGGTCGCAGGGAGGAGACGAGTCAGTCTGGGTACAAGGTAGCAACAAGGAAACATGCAATTTTCCACTAGTTCTTTAATGCTCCCCCACTATCATGATCACTATCATGATCCCAATTCTACCTTACAAATCCGGCGATACCAGAGGATGTACACTGGTACAGATCAGAGCTGGAAACACAGGGAATCCAGGACAGATAAACCCCTCAGGGCCAATAATCAGAGCAGAGATACCAAGAGGGGAAGGGGAAGATGAGGGAGAAAGTGGGAACCGATCATAACGATCTACATATAACCCCCTCCCTGGGGGACAGACAACAGAAAAGTGG